GTCCTGACAACTCTTGTATTGCTTTTTGTCGTTGTCTAATCCACAAAACAAAATAAAGATGTAAAATTTGTTTTGCAACAAAAAAAAGTCCAACGGTTTTTTTCTTTCTCTTATTAATGATTTTTGTCTAAACTTGAAGTAAGCACCAGTCAATTATCTGTCTCCTAGATATTTTCGACATTAACACATGCACTTGACTTGAAATTGCTTAACATTTACACCATTTTTTTTTCTCAATAGTCAAGACAATGCTTAACATCTGTAAATTTAATTTTACTCACTTTGGGTTGAAGCAAAAGAGTAAAGAGCAAGAAATTAAAAAAGGGAGAAAACCAACTGGAAAGAATATTTGTCTGGTTTTAGATAATGATTAAAAGCTGTATTGGTTATGGTGAATTAGTTGGAAATCTCTTAAATTAGACATTTTATATATAGTGTGCTTGTGTTTATGCATCAAAATATCAGAAACATGCTTTACCATAAAGGCTTTTGATGAGCTGTAGAATTGACATAATTGGTTTGAATGAGTGACCATATTGTGACCAACAAAAAAAAAAAAAAGAGTGCCATAATGATACCTACCATCTTTATTTTAATCAAATACCTAACGTTGTTTTATTTGTTAGTGATTGCAACCAAATTCATTATCATTATCCTTTCATAACAGTTTTCTCCTTTAGATGTATGGGCCTGTCCTTTTTGCTTGCATGGGCCTCCTCTCTTATATTATTTTTTTTTTTGGGCGAAAAAAACCGGGGAAATCTCCGGATATTATTTTTTTGATAAAGTGTAAATATCATTTAGACAATGAAATGTTAGAGGTTACAAAAGTTACTTCTAGTGTTTATAATACTTTGTCCAAAAAAATTAAAAAAAAACAAGGTAAAATATAGGAAGTTGTGTGGAGATGTCACAAATCATCGTAGCCAAAGCTCCATGAGACTATGGTATTGCTTTCTCTTCCGTTTTGCTGAAATTGAGTTCATCACATCACGGTAGATGCCCTGGAAGACCATGATAGGAGGGATTGAGATTTGATTGTGCAAAACGTTGTTGCGCTGTCTCCATAAGTGAAAGATAGTGGCATGAACCACAAGTCTCAACTAAAACATAAACCAATTACATGACAAATGACATCCTCGCTCAAGATATTTGCAACATCCAACGGAATCGAACTTAAAGCATGAAACCCTAGTGGTTTTGAAATTGCATAGTGAAAATTTTTAAATCCTCTTTTATATTATTATCTTAATGAAAACTTTTAAATCTTTTTATTCACTATTTTTTGTTTAAAATAGAGATAATCTATACTTTTACAACCCAACTAATTTCTTTAAGATGAATGTAGAACCCATTCACCAAGTTTTCTAATAGACTTAAAACATGACACCACTTCGAATGGTCAAATGAGAGTGGTTAGATAATTCTACGTTTGAGAGGAATTGAACTCTAGCCTAAATCCACATAATAATTAATTCTTTAAGTAAAAACCACTAGTCCACTACCACTTGGTTATAATTTATTCACGCTCTTCTTTTCTCATTTTCCTTTGATGCTAATTTTTACATAGTCCACATGTAAAATTCAATATTTCATTTGAATACGATGTGTACAAGAGAAATAAAAATAAAAAAATTTCTATCAATTCAGAATAATCGAAATGCTGTTATAATAATTTATGTATTGATTCTTTTGTAAAATGGACAACAACATAGAAATTCATATTTTTCTATGTAAATATACTCCTTATTGAGGTAAGCTCATTCTCCACTAGTTAATTAATATATAGAGTTTTTGTTATAAAAAGAAAGTAGGACACATTTCACAAATGACGAACCGATGATGTTAGTTTAGTGATCAAATTACCAATAAAAATATATTATATTTGCTAATTAAATTGGGCTTAGGTAAGCCCAAATTAACAAGACAAGATCAGGAGAAAGATATTTCATCCAAAAAGGTAATGAAGGAACAAGCAAGTAGAGAGTCAACTGTCAGAACGTTGACCAAATCTCTCACTTCCACCTTCTCAATCTCAAAGCTTCTTTCTCTCCGGCCAATTCTCTAACCTCTCACTCTCACCGGCGATCGTCGCTTCTCACCGACTGTTTATTTCCGGATCGAATTAGTCTCCACTTTCTCCGGTAATCATTTTCACATTCCAATCGTTTAGTTCATTCACAAAATCAATAAAGATTCATTTTTTTCTTTCTTCTTTCTGGTTTCTGGGTTTATGAAATATATACACACGACTATTGAAAACAGTAATATTTATATTTTCTCTGTAATAAAACCTAAAGATTAATAGGGATCAAGCTAAAGTTTGCTCTTTTTCCTTTCAAAATATCAACGGAACAAATTCTGAATTTCAATCAATTCTTAACTTTTTTTTTTCCCATAATTGTATTATTGAGATTCTTAGATTCTGGTTTAGATTAGTAAAGGTGTCATTTGATGTTCATGTGATCAGCTTTATAATATGTTTAACAACTTTTCAATTGACTGAGAAATGAATTGCTAAGAGTTTTTTTTATGTACAGTTATGGAAAAGTTTAGAATT